ATTGAAATCTTCGAGAAGCGGGTTGCCTGACTGTATAGTTTCTTCTGAAGTGGTTGGTCCTGGATTTGGTGCTGCAAAAATATGAAGAAGCTGTTCTTCCAGTTCTTCTAATGTAACATTTGGATGTGACAGTCTCATCTTTTTGAGATACACAAAAAAAGTGGGAAGACTGATAATATTATTTTCTTGATGTTGCAGTATATCGAATTGAGGAGGTATGCGTTTGAGTATCAAAGAGGAGGGTTTAGTACTGTAAATATTCCACCATTTGATTTTGATGATTTTACCAAGGCGAGGGACATATTCAAAATTATTGGTATTATTTTCAGAAAGAGTGTAATCCCATTTTAGAATCCATGGGATTTGATAGATAGCTATAAAGTATAAGTGATAATTATCTTGGGGAGTGCATGTATTATGAATGGCAAATTTTTCTTGAAAGGCTCGAAATTCATCTGGTAATATTTGAGTGTGTGATCCCCATATCAGGAACCAATGTCGGAACCAGCTAGGGAACCATTTCAAGATAGGGAATTTAAACTGGACATACCAAGAATGAATATTATTTGGATTTTTATTGCAAAGACTTTTTGTCAGGCCTCAATATACTTAGCATACTTATAATATTTGTATTGGAATTCAGGATTGGCTAACTTTTTGCTTTGCATAGGGTTATTACCCCAATCTTCATAAGATAATAATTTTTTAATTTGTAGCTTAGAATATGCATATAGCTTAGTATTACCTTGATAGAAATGTACAATGGATACTGAACCAGTTTCCATGAGTACAGCCTCGTACCATTCACGAGTCTTGGCGTCATTGGTAGGGTTCAAGTGATTAGTGAGATATAAGGGAGCTAATTTATTTGGGTCAATATTTATATACTTGTCGCATATGAGTATATCAGCAAAAAATGCGGTTTCAACATAAACTGGCTTAAAAGCGAAGGGAGTTTGTCTATTTGGGTAAGTAGCTAGAGTAAATGCAGGATTAGGAGTTTGTATTAGACTTTGAGGAAGAGTCTGGATGAAATATTCTGATACATTTGTCGAACGCATGGGTGACATAGGTGTTATTGGTAAAGAAGAACTGGGCATAAGAGACCCAGATATGGGACAAGGTACCAAGTCCATTTTTTGTTTGCCATGATTGTTACCTTGAGATGTATTCATATTTGTATGAGTATTTTGTAAAATAACTGTAAACCGTAAGGAATACTATCTGGCTCAGGTAGTGGTGGTAATATACAAGGTAGTAGTGGTAATATACAGCCCTCTTGCAAAAATTCACGGGTAAGAAAGTCAGGTAACGAATTAATAGAGCTGGGAAGATGTTCAATAGAAAAATCAAAAGCAGATAAGATCGCTTGCCAACGGGCAAATATTTGTTTTGAAACAAGATTTTGAACATCCTTTTGCAGAATGTCCTTAGTATATATATATAGGAAAAAACTAACAATAGCTAGACAGCTATAATGAATAATAATATAGGTGGAATCCCAGCCGTCAGATTTTCATCATGTCATTCAAAATGTATATCATCATATGAATTTTCATTTTTTTCCGTAAATAAAATTAAGGTAAAATTTTGGATGTATATACCTAACACTATTGTGCACCATATAAAAATATAAAAACACTATTTTCAATAATTTAAAATGACCAAATTACCCCCAATATATTTCATGAGTATTTCGGTCATTTTATATTTTGCGAAATATTTTTTATATATTTTTGAATTGTGTGCCCTATGTTTTAGTACACATGTCTAAAATTTCATTATGATCCGATTTCTAGAAAAACTATTAAAATGTATATAGTAATATGCATTCTGAACCACACGATGAAGATCTAACAGTAGAGATTCTACCTATATTATTATTCATTATAGCTGCCCAGCTATATATATTTATATATATATATATATATATATATATATATGAAAAAGATGGGATTACCTCACTAGCTCATATGAACATATGAGCCCAACGGTCCAGATTGAATTTGAGCCGATTTGACGATCACGGATGTCTGATGGTGCTTGAATTTTATTGTTTTTTCTACGAGTCCAAATCACTTGAAATTTTAGGTGTGTGTTCTTCTTATCAATGCGCACCTAATAAAAATACAAAAAAAAAATTATTCAAGAAAAAATAAATGACAAAAAGACCTCTTGAACATTTTCAGGGTATTTTAGTCAATTTATTTCTTGTAAAATATTTTTTTGATATTTTTTGAAGATTCGCCTATTTTTTATGAACACGCACCTAAAACTTCAAGTGATTTGGATTTGTAGAAAAAAAAACTAAAATTCAAATACTACCGGACATCCGTGATCGTCAAATCATGTCAGATTTGATCTGGGATATTGAGCTCATATATTCAT